CACACAATCAAACCCATGAACATTCAGAGGAAGGACGATGACTGGTCTTTATCAGGGGCGTGGTTTGATTCCTGGACGATGCAGTACAGACAAAAACAAAACTACTTGGGCTTGTTCTCGAGGTATTCCAACACCACCGACCTGATTTTTTAAAATGTAAGTGTTTTTATTTTGTTGGCTTTTTTTTTTTTTGCCCTCGTCGGCACGATTAAGATCGTTTAGGGTGTTGGAACCCTGCCTGGCAGGGCCAACCCGAGCTGAGAGGGATACAACATCCCAGTAAAAAATACCGTGACAGTCGATGAAAATGTCTCCCCACTCAGGACTCAAACTTGGCTCTCCTGCAAGCAACTGCGAAACGCCTACCCGCAACACCACAGACAGACAGACCTAAAGATACGTCACGTCCACCTCCCTAATCTCTGGGACCAAGTTAGAAACTGAAATGTCGTCTGCCGTTAAGAACTTAAATCTGTGAACTACTCAAAGCAGATGACAGCGTAATGCAAGACGCTTCGACAGCTGTCCCATTTAAGAACATACCACTGCTAAAAAGGTGCGACGAGTGAACACGCCAGAGCAAAACTATCAGTCCCAGATGCCCCGAAGTGTACATCATTTGGTCAACATTTTAAAAACTTCTCTTGAAAATTTTTGCTGTTGACATATGCCTTATTTTGACGGGATCTCGGTAAAGATTTAAAAAATAACCCCTACAAGAAGTAAAAGAAGGCAACTCCACTACATTTTATTATTATTCAATGATTGCACTCACGCCTTTGGTGCGAGGGTCGTTAGGGCTTAAAATGTCGACCAAACTGCGCTCTTAGTCTTAGACTACTTTGTGCATCGCAAAAAAAAGTATGCTTCAGATTTTTTTTTGGGTCTAAGATTGCGGTCATTTGCGCAAAACAAATGGTTAAAAAAAAAGCTCTGATTCAGAAAAACAGCTGTTTCAGTATTTTAAAAACGCAAAAAAAACAAGAAAAAGATTCCAGAGGGAATTACAACACATTTGATGTGCTTCTACGTGCTGTAAATCATGCTTCCCTGGCCACACAGTCATATTCTATCAGCGTCACAGAGTCTGTGAGATATACTCTCATCTATCCGAACTGACGGTCTGTGAAGGAATGTGGAAACTTTCCATGAGCCTTCATGCATACAATCTTGATGCGCCCCCTCATGAATAATCTATAACTTAATACTCATTCCACCTTGATGTGTGCGATTGTTGTTAACTGATTTCGGATTACACTTGGCTTTATCTGCTGTTCCGAAAAAAATGTAACCGTTGTGATACCGACTTAACGTAAACTATTGTTCAACAATAAACAAAAAGCAACACAAATAACAACTACAAAAGCAACTACATTAAATAATTAAAGTAAAAAAGACGCTAGCAAAAAAACCCAAACTACCCGTGCAACTTCGCCTCTAGAAGAAGAAGAAGAAGAAGAAGAAGAAGAAGAAGAAGAAGAAGAAGAAGAAGAAAAAGAAGAAGAAGAAGAAGAAGAAGAAGAAGAAGAAGAACAACAACAACAACAACAACAATAACAACAACAACAACAACGGCAACAACAACAACAACAACAACAACAACAACAACAACAACAACATCGTCTGTAATGACATAGAACGTAATGTAAATCTAAGAACAGAGGATATTATTGAGCCAAGCACAACTTTCACCAAACATAAGGGAGCTTTAAAAGTTGTGTTCCCATATATATGAATTAAGCTCTGGTCCTGTGCCGGTTTATCAAACAGTCTAAGTAGTCTAACCTTTAGGCCAAAGACCCCGACAGCCCTTTGCATTTCTTTGAAAAGGAATTGGAAAAAAAAGATTGATGAATAGAATTTTAAAAAGCGTGATGTTTAGGGTCTCGGCCTGACGCATTCGGTTTAGATTCTGTTATGAAACATAATTACAGCTGCTCAGTACATAGTTTTGAAAAACTAAGGTTACAATAAAAATTTGAGCTTCACAATGTGTCGAGCTTTTTCGAATGCAATTATTGTTGCTGTTGTTGTTTTGTTGTTGTTTTTGTTTTTGTTCTTTTTACGGGGGGGGGGGTAAGTGTTTTACGGCGCTTGCAACTGCATAAGGTCATATAAGCGCGCAGGACACGCCAAATTTTTTCAGTGGGAAGGAAATGTTTTGAATTTTGCCTGGGTGGCGGCCGAAGCCTACTCTTATCGATTTTAGACCACCAAGGGATCTTTAACATGCGCAACTTGCACACTGGACCTCAAAGATTTTTCGCCCTTGTCCGAGAAGGCAAGGTGTAGATCTTTCCTACCGGAAGATCAGGGGTGTGGCTGAAAGACAGCAGTAAGAAGGAGCCAAGTAGTAGCAGTAGAAAGGCTGCAGAAAGAATCAGGAGCCCAGAGAAGGGGCAAGGGAGGCGGGGGCAGAAAGCGGAGACGAAAGCAGACGACAGAACATTGCCAGAGAACATGAAAGGAGGGGAAAGGAGACAATTTTAGAGAAGAAATTATTTTTTCCGTCGCTACCCGGATTCGAACCCGGGACTTTTGATTGATGAGAGGCGAACACCTTAACCTCTAAGCCACGAGAGCCCCTGCACTTCTTTGAATACCTTGATAATGACTCAGAATAATCTTACGATTGTGATAGAGCAGATAAAACATGTATTTGGTTTCTGATCCCATGGTCTTCGTAACTCAAAAACGGCCAAAAATGTCAGATACAACTTTGTGATTCCAAGGTAGCGAAACACAGATACGCTGTCTGTAGTGATAGAACGTTGCCAAAACTTCAAAACAGTATTACATTGTACTGCGGGGAACAAATTTCCCCAAGCATAAAGGACTGACCGAGTTTCATAGCGTTAATAATAATTTATTTATAATCTAGGTAGAATTCATGAAACTTACGCCGTAACCACGCAATGCTTTTCACTCAAAAGGACAATTAATTCTATTCATGAATTTTTTTTTCTTTTTGGGACTCATTTTTTAATAACGGTTATAATGCTTTTTGCTTTGCTGGCATATGACTGGAGTTCAATGGCTTCATGTGGAAGGCATTTTATAGAATATCTCTGACACTCCGTTAGCACGAGATCAACGCATAGTTCGTTTTGAATGGGACAAAGCAGCCCGTCTACAAATCTGATGACGATGATGATGATGATGATGATGATGATGATGATGATGATGATGATGATGATGA